ATTTAGAGTTTTTCCCATGTGGATGAGCATCAGCAATGCATAATGGGTGTGCTATTTGTGATATCTTCACAATAAAATTCCCTTCAGGATGGTGGAAAGAGAGGCTGTTTCCCCCCTTAGAAATTCTCTCCCCTTTTCTGTTTACCACAGCCACAGTCACTGTTTCTTTGGCCATGTCTCTGCCATATGGCCAGCCAGCAATAAATGGCCATGACTTTTATTTCAAATGGATTTATTAGGGATGGTGAGTAATGTATTTTTATGCTGGATTACTTATTATACTCATGTCTTGTGTCAAGATCTAGTTGGATGAAAGAACTGAGTGCATTAAAATACCATTTGAGAAGGGTTTATTAGTTAATAATACCTTGAAATGCACTTGAATGCTTTTCCTCATGTAAATTTATGTAAATGTTTTTAGACTGAAAGCTGAATTATTACAATAAAAGCAGTATTATGTATATTGAGGAAGCTGAGCTGTTTGGGTTTGGTCACCGTATCTCTTGGAGTTGAAGAAGCTCATCCTGTCCAACCTAATTATTTCCACAGATCCCAAGAAAGCTTTTCTTTTTCCTCTCAGTTCATCTCTGAGCTCTGAGTTGAATTGTACTAGTTGGAGAAACACAAATGTTTAAAAAGTTCTTTTGGTACCTGCTGTTATGTTGAGGCCAGATTAGGGTTTAAGCAAGTTCTGTTCCAGGTGCTACTGCTGGTTCAGCCATTAGACCCTCTTTAAAACTTTGGGAGCAAATATAACCTGCTTAATGCCAACTCTCTGCAACTGGAACTAGATGGATTTGTTAATTTGTTGAATTTATCTCTGCCCAGTACTACAGACTGTTCCATCTCTGGAGCTATATAAAGAGATATGGTGGCTTCCTCTGCTGGAGCTAAAGATGGCCACTAAGGGTAGCAGCTTTATAAAGGATTGCTCTGACTGCCTTATATCACCAGATCCAAGGTGATAGCTATTAGCACCTTTCAGCTCGTGTAAATGTAGAAAAGCATATACCTAATGAGGAGAGAGCAAATGTTTGAACAAGTGCTCCAGGGAGAGCGGTAGAGAGAGCATTAAGATGGAGCACTGCATCTGTCCAAGGACTGCATCCTTGGAGGGCACTGACCACAGAAACATTCCCATCTCAGATTCTTTTTTCACTTCTTTTTTTTTTAAATTTCCACTTAAAAAAAATATTTAGCTGTCGTTGAAGATAATCGGTAGTGAGTTATGCTCCTATTTACTGTCAGTTTTACTCTTCCCTTCTCTCCACACTCCTTCTTTGAAGGACCAAACAATTGATTTCTCAGACAGAGGCAGTGTGAGAGAAGCTGGCTCACAAATATGACTTTCTTCTGACCACTGATTACTTTTGCTGACAAACTAGTACTTCTTATCCCTGCCTCTAATGTGTGTAAAAATTTCAGTTAAAAAACCTCTGCTTCCCCCCTGTTTTTCCTCATGTGGTTTGGATTAGGAAAATCCGGGACCCAGCAGGAGACACAGCAAACCCAGACTGAACTGCAAAATGGATTACTTCAAGTGCGGTGAGTGGGGGTTAGAAAGACATTGCACATAGAATTGAAACTACCTTATCACAGATACTGCACTTGATCTTAGCCAAAAGGCTGAGTATTCCACACACTGGAATCTTGCTAACTCTAATTTTATCAGAAAGTCTGTCTGATCTGATTTCCATATCATGTTTCTTTCAGTTTAGCAAGTGTAGTCACTTTGGCCAGTTGTGTTTGTTGTGTTTACTTTCTTAAATTTGTGGAAATGAATGTGATCTTTCTTTATTTGGAGTAATAAAACCAGAGAGAGATTTTATATCAACATCTTTGAAATTGAATTTGTGGAAATATTTTGTCTATATGAGGTTTTATTTGATTCTTTAATTCATTTCATTTCCTGAATTTAGATTCAATTATATGTTCTTCCTTTTAAATGTATTCTGTTGTCCATCTAGAATAGCTCCTCTTGTGGCAGATGCAAATATTAATGAAATCTCTGATCTGGTGTGTAGACATTATTGAACACTAACAACACAATCTGAATTTGTTATCTGCTTTCTAGGCCTGGAGAAAACAAACTTACCTCGGTGAGGTACCCATTCAGGTACTTAACTGTTCTAGTGAAAATCTCGAGGAGCAGGGAGGAGAAGGGATTAGGGTGATGTGAGTTTGAGCTGAGGGAAGCATTGTTCTGGATATTGTAATTGGCCTCTTTTAATATAAGATTCATTATGTAGCTTGTTATATAATTATTGTTCTATTATTATATTCTATATAATTTTATAATTGTTCTGTTATTATATTGTAGAATTTATCTGAGTGAGGTTGCATGTAGGTTTATATTGAAAGAGAGACAGCTTTTTCCAAGAAAAAGCATATGAGTAGAAATCATTATATTTAAATAGAATTTAATCTACATCCTTAAACGTAAGACTTGTGCTGACATTCCAGTACCATTAAAAAAAAAAAAAAAAGGCACATTGGTGTTACAAGTGTAGGTTATGGTATTACAGCTGAACCTTTGCAGTGTGGGTTACACTTTTGTGCTATTTTCCAAAACAGGGAAACTTCACAGGGACTCCACAACAATGGATATGAACATGTAGAAGCCCCTGCATGGGAAGTTTAGTCTGTTTCTACATTTTTTTCCCTGTTTCACAGTCCATTTCATGTTTATAGTTGTGTTAAATTGCTGGTATTTATCTCAAGGTGCTTTGTCATTTCTGAGCTAGATGTCCTACAAATAAACAACTGATGGCAAGGGCAGCAGAGAATCAATCCATACAGAACAGGGGATGTGGAAATGAGCACTAAGACAGGGAACAGAGGATGACAGAGGCCTTAGCTGTATCACCAGGTAGAGCATAAGAAGAGGCAAAACCTCTGGGGGGCGAGTAGGTGAGTGATGAGAGAGGTACATTACTGTTTTCTCACTAAGGAACAAAATTTCCCAATAATTTGTCAGGCTCTACCTTTTCAAGATGAAATTCATTACTACATCAAAGTGAATGCCTTGCTGCTAACAGAAAAAAATGCCCCTATTTAGAATGTAAATGAGAAAAATGTATGAATTACATTTATAGATATTTAAAGAATTGTGAGTGGCTGGGTGGATGGAGTTAGTCTTGTTTTAGAAATTGACTTTGGCATAATTTGATAATAAGTAATAAGCTTCTGATTCCCTAATAATTTGAAATGTAGCAAATCATTACTGAATGTGTGTGCTGCATTACATATGAAGCGTACACAGCCAAGAGGGGTGTGTGGTGGGTTGGTTGGTTGGTTTGTTTGCAGCCTGTCTACTTCCCTTCTCACCCTCCCTCTCTGGCAGACCACCATGAGGGAAGGCTGAAGTCAGCCTTGCTCAGCACTGAATTGTGCCAGTTAGAGGATGCTACCCTTTTCCAGAAGAGCTTGGGAGCCCTTCAGGGGTTAGAAGCATATAACTCAAAGTTATATACCTCCTATGTTCCCTCCATCTCCTTCTGCCTGGAGGAGAAACCTGTTTGAAACCCCTGTATTGGGCAATTCTTGGAAACAGACACCTGAATGCAGATGCGTTCTTGTCAAAAGGAAACCCAGAAAACATTTGCACAGATGTGGTTGACACAGGAGGTCATGATCTCATTTCATATGTCATTGCTTAATCTTAGCTGAGATAATTACAGACATATGGCTGTCTAAATATGAAGTCAACAGGAAGGTATCCAGCTACATGTGGTACTACAAGTAAATCAGATTTAACTGCAACAGCCAGCAGCTGAAGCTATTAGGTGAACATCGGATGTTCCCTGACAAAATTTATCATAAAAAACAAAGACAATAAATTTACATTTAGTCATTCTTTGTATGTCTTTGTGGATAAAACTCACATTAGTATCTCATAATGTTCAAATAATAATCAGTATAGAATTTAGAGTTATTTGTATACGTTTTTCGAAACATGACAGGATGAAAACTCACTGTCCAGGGAAAGTGTAACATATTGCCTAAACCATCTGTGGTGCTGGGTTGATGCTGGCAAGCCCTGGATAATACAGGGACAATCAGGTGTGGAGTGTTTGCTTCACTGGCCAGCAGCAGTCAGGTCAGCGCTTTCCCCGTTTAGGCTCTGACCAGCTGCTGGTCCCAGCAGTGCAGTAGTTGTAGGTGCAGCAAAGCCCTCAGACAGAGGCTATTCTGTAGTACTCAGAACCAGTACAAAATGTCCCTCATGCTTTGCCTTTTGTTGTGTTGGCCCTAAGTACTTTTTTTTCCCCTCCTTTCCGAAAGGTCTCACCTTCTGGCTGCACCATTACAACGTTTCTGTGTGTTTTAATAGCGGTTCATATCTATAGCACAGCTATAGTTTTGGTATTATTGCTTCTGAGGACTCACAGAGTTGCTCAGGAAGCTTGTGGGATGTTTTTGCAGGATGCTGCCTTTGCAGCATGCAGCCAAACCTGTTGGTTTGTTCCAAGCTCAGTGGCAGTTTCCAGCATAGCCATTACAGACACCACAAATCACCTCATTTCCTGACTGCAAAGCAAGAGGGTGGGCTCTCCCCTACTCCCCTTTGCCGTGCTTTTAAACCATTTGTAAGCAGGGATTTGTTTTTCTTCCTGTGTGAAGTAAACTAAGGTTGAACTCTGGTGTGGTGTACAAACTCAGATTTGAACGGGCCCCCTAAGTTTCACTGATATGGTAATTTTTAAATCCAGGTCACAAGCACAGACGTCCATGATGAACTCTGGGAAAGTTTTGTGTGCCAGCTGGGCACGTGCTTTTCTCTGAGCGAGTGTTTATGCTCCCCAGGTCCTGACCCTGCGGTCCAGGAGGAGGTCCACAAACCCACACCAAGACCCCTTGGCTTTGCTGGAATTTTCATCCCAGACGACTATTGAGGTGTATTTGCAGGATTGCAGTGAGCAGCAGCGTGAGCTCTGGGTAAGCGCCCTCCCTCGTGCTCGTACGTGTTCTGGCAAACTGAGATTTCAGACAAGCAGGTGAAGACATACTTCAGTTTTATTGTTGTTTAGGCATGGATAGAAACATTAATTCTTTTGCACTCTTGGTTCTTGAAACTTGCCTATAGTGAACTTGGAGCAGTGAAAAGCCCAGCTCCTAGGACTGACGATTTAAAGTGCATAGGAGATCTAGCAGAATCCCAAAAGGCGAGGAGTTGGTTTTATTCCTTCTTCTGTAGCTGTGGAAGCTGAAGGACTTTTTTTCTTCTCCTTTGCCCTGTATTCCCCTGACAGTGGTATGAAAATTTTCAGCCCTTCCCTATGCTTTCCCTTTGGAAGTTTCCCTATCTTTGGAAGTTTCCTCTCTGTATTTAAGAACTATTTGTAGTGTTATAAACAAAGACAGGTGATATTTGCACACTCCTTCACAGGACTCTGTTACAGCTTTTCCCATTTAGAGTCATGCCCACTGAATTTGTTTTTTTCTTTTAAAAAACGTGTATCACTTGGCAGTGTTCTCGCACCAAAAGAAAAAGATATATTTATATATAAAGTAACTTTTTTGTGTGTTCACGTTTTATTTTGGAAAAAGAGGTGTTTAAAAATTTTAGAATTTTTTTAACAAAATTCTAAAAAGAAAAAAATCACAATATTTACAGAGATAACAGAATGGCTTAGCCATGCAAAACAAATTACTTTGGTTTTTCCCCCATTTTACTTTGGTTTAAATATTGACCAAGATTATAATTTTTTTTTCTTTTTGCCAAATAAAACAGTAACAAATTAAAGTTTAGAGGCATATAACAGGATTTCCCTCTAATATTTTATACAGCATAGAGTTTATAGGACATCTTATGTATTTAATCCATGCCAATGCACTACAGGAAGCTTTTATTAAGACATCAGTCACTACTGCCCAGACATTTAACATTTTACAAATTTACAAGTAACAGTGTTTTCTTCCCCCTAAATAATGCAAAAGTGGCAAAATACATTTCCTAACGTCCATCTTTTTCATTTATTTATTTATTTATTTATTTATCTATTTATTTATTTATTTATTTATTTTTGCCTACCAATCTATAAAAACTTACTTTTTCCCTGGATATTTGTAAATGGAAACCTGATGTTCTGCTTAATCTACTCTTTCCCTCCATCAAAGATGCCTGTTACCCTCTTCCAGAAACTAACCTTCCAGATAAATTGAAACATCTCCCTTAAGTACGACTTCCTTTTGGCCATTCACCCTAAAACCTTCTCTTATCAAGTACCATTCTAAAAATTCCCTCAAGCAAAAAACATGTTTATAAAGTTACAAACTTGAATGTAACTAAAGATACATAGACATTTCATTGTTACAATTATATGTACTGTTTGATAAATTAGGTACCAGTTAAAAACACTAAAATTATCTCAAGGTGCATTCAATATCTGTAGCATAGTTAACAAAAACACACAAAAAATATATATATTCTATTTTTGTGGGAAAAAATGCAGCTTTGATATGACCACTTTTTAAAAAAAGGTTCCAATTCTGACTGGTATCTCTTTGAAATGACAATTTACAGTACTTTAAGGCAGCGAATAACATAAAGGAATCAAAATTAACCCAGAATTCCAGTTCCTTATCCTAATGCTAACATGAAAGACGACTCATAAAGATCAATAAAATGCGTGTCTTGCTCTAGAAGGAAAGGATTATTAGCCACCGTCTGTATGTAGGCTAGGAATTTTTCATAGCGTTCCTTGCTTAATACCCAGACTTCTTCAGGGAACCTCTTTATTCCCCTTCTGGCTTGTTTAGCTTTGCACGGTTTTTTAAACATTCACTTTCATTAACATCTTAGTTTATTCTTGTCACAGCTGTCACCCTTCTGCTTTATCATGACTTCAAAGAATGAAAAAGGAGTTTGACATTTTCCTTTAAGACAATCTTACACTGTAGGTACTTGCTACAAACCAGAGGCTTCACTGAAAACAACCAGAACTAGACATGTACCTGCTCAAAGGGTGTCATAAAAACAATTGAAATAAAAACCATTACACTATACATCAGATTAACAGCAACTCCCAGAACAAAGCCTTACAGTGTATAAAAATAGCTACGTAAAAAATTTACATAAAGGCAAACAAAAAGAAATCTTCAGTGCAGACATTTACAAAAAAATATTTCGAACAGAACACAACATGGTGACCTATTATCATGGCTGTTGCCAAAATTAGTTTGTGGGGTTTTTTTATCTTGAGATAATTATGTCTAAAATCCTTTGAAAACTTGGTAGTATGATCTGCTTAATACTTGAACCATGAATAGCTGTCACTTCTTTGTATATGTTTAAGTACAATCCACGTTCATGCTTCAATTGGTCTATATGTATTCTCTGAAAATATGAAAGATAAAGCCAGTTAAACACTTTAAAGTATATTAACCATCATAACTACTCAGTATCTAGCCTTCAAATAAACAGCTACATGAATAGTACTTTCTTCTGCTGTTCAATGACATGAACACTTTCTTTCATGACAAGAGTAGCTGTTGTAATACTGTTCCCAGTAAATCCAGTAAGTTTATCTGGTAAGTAATGGATTTATGTCCATTTCATTTATGTAGATCTACTGATCTGAAGAAATACAGAGTAAACGATTGCACTGAAGGCACACAATGTTATCTGAACTCCTATGTTAAATAAATACCCCCAGCTAACTTCATCTAATCACCTCAATATCACAATGTTGCAGAAGGTACCAGGACCAGGCAAAAAATACAGACGAAGGCCTAAGCAAAAAGATTACAGAATTTCCCCATAGAATTATAGTAGGAATGCTGGGTATTTATGCTGCAACTTTTTCAAAATCCAAATCTACTTCTTTCCTACTTTTAAATCATTTATAGGATATAATTTTGATATTCCCAATTCCCTTTTTCAAATTATAAAACAGTGATATTACTAGTAAAGTGCCTATAGCAATGCTGCATCTCTTTATATAATGTATAAGTGCTTTATCTAATTCAGTGAATTTTGAATTTTTAACGCAAAACTTGTGGCTTGTACTTAAAAGTACAATACCAGACAATACCGGTATTATTAATGGCAGCTGTATTTATTTAAATAAGAAACCTTTTAATGTAAATATGAAATACCATAGTTCCAGTACATGCTTTAAAACCCTACTACCTCAAGAAGGTATCCAATGCTATTTACTTAAGATCCCTGAAAATCAGGGCTGCCTACAGCTTTCCTGTGGAGGAAGTTAAAATGCAGCACTACTGAACGGGTACTACTCTCATTTTTAAGAACAGCTGATGACTAACTGAACAAACCTCTGTATGGTCAGCTGGCTTCCAGACTCTTGGGCTACCCCAGATTTTAAATGTCCTAAACTGGCCATAAGAATGGTCTAAACCCCTACTTTGGGTTCTAAGAGGAGTGGCATATATACACGCAGCAGTGGTGTATATATGTGTGAGCACAGGGTGGTGCTGTTGGTGCTCTGTAGTGCTCCTGTAATTCCCAGCAGAAGTTAGGCATCTACCGAATCGCTGGTGCACAGAACCCAGCAGGGGAAACTTTCATGCTAAACGTAATATACAGTGTCTCTTTACAGGATAAAATTGATCCTAGTATAAGTATGGAAAATCTAGAGTGAAAAGAATTGTTTTGTTCTAAAGGAAGTCTCATGCCATTTGCACTAATGATGAACAAAGCTGACTTGGAGAACTTGGAAACTGTTGCTTTTCAGTAAGGGAAGAAGGCTCCTGTAAACATTCCAAGTCACAACTTGAAACCTTCTAACTCTACCTAAATATATTCTTCATATATACACATACACACACACGTGTACCACAGTGACACATTATATAAATTTGTATTTTCATTTCCTCAAGTATGTGGATTATCTAAATGTCAGGCTTGTTTTAATATCTCTGTGCAGCTTCAAATTCTTAACTGGCCAGAAGCTTGAGTCTGTCTGTCCTGATACTACACCACTCAAAGTGACCCCTCTGCCTCATCTCTGGAAGGTGAGCAACAGATTCCACAAATGGTGGACAAAGGGATGTTAAATTCTGCAATATTAAACACTTACCTGGAATGACGACTGACACATTTTCTCTTAAGTTTCAGATTTATGATTGTTTTCCTCTAGTTTTTTGTTTTCTTCTATATTTCCAAGATCTTTGTCTACATGTTTTGATGCTGTCCTATAATGTAAAAAAGAAGGTCATTTTTGCACGTCTACAGCGTTTTGTTCCATCCTCACATTAATGACACTGCCTCCTCCCCTCGAACGGAAAACTGTGACAGGTTCTGTTCTCAGCAGGTTTGCATATGTCTGTAAATAGGCCAACAGCACCAGATCCCCCACTGGTGTTGGTACCACAGGAAGTATTGCAGTAGGGCTCTGTGTGTTTGATTTACCTCTTGAGGAATTCAGAATTATCCTGAGCTAGCAGACATTTAGCAAGGTTAAACCAGTTGTGGAGATCCATGTTTCCTGACAAAGTAATTGTGTAGCTTGTTTCAAAAAACAAGAGTTTGCTTTAAGGCATACTAAAAATGTTACAAGTGTGGCTAAGATATCTTGATCAACACAGCAATCTTTTGTGTACTTGTAGTAAATGACTTACAGAGCCCATGCCAAACGGAAGCTCTTTAAATGTGAAGAAATTCATAAAAATTCTGGCAACACTGAAAAAAAAATCACACTCTGGTTTCTAGATCTGTGCTAGCTGTGACTGACAAGCTTTGGGCAAAGATGAAATTGTGTAGATGTTTGGGGGGGGGGGGAAGAGGTATGCCTCATTTAAAATAGCAGGTCTTCCTTAATGCAAGTAGTGGAGATGAATTAATGAGTTAAGTGCTTAGTTTAGCTTAGCACAATAAAACCACTATGCCATTCATTTAATCTGTGAGAAGCCTCACTGTCTGCCAAGGTGAAAGATTCCTGCAGTGCTGCGATAACATTTTGAAGGCCACAATTTTTAAAATGTAAATGGGCAAATGTGTTTGAGTGGGACAAAGTAAATCCCTTGTGTCAAAGCAGATTATCGTATACGCATTTTCTCTACAGATAATTTGTTTCCCCTACAGAAAAGTGAGGTCTGTTGTGACAGATTCATGCATATGCTCGCCCTTGCTTCAGGGTAAAGGCCCGCAGTGACGCTGACTTGCAAAATACAATGAAGACACAGGTTAGCAGGATACTGTGACACGTCACGCTGACACCATGCAGGTATGTACCTCCCCAAACCGCTGATCTGAACTTTTGCTGGTGGAGTGTTTCTGTGCACATCCTCCATCTGAGCAGAGGCCGTGAGCAGGGGCTACGAACTGTGTGTGCCCTGAGCTGAAGTACCCTTGAGTGGTACAGACAGTTTAGTCTTTGTCTCTGAAAGGCTTCCGATGGGGTGCAAATGCACCTAACCCCCAACACCTCTGGGAGTGGTGCTGAAATGCTGCTTTCTGGGCTGGGGAGCAGCTCTTGAGGTGGAGTGCCAGGAGAGCATGGGATTCTGGATCCCAGAGCGCAGAGACTACACTGAATGGCACCATTCTAAAATGTTTTTTGTTTTAGAGGTTATCTCCTGAATGGCTCTAAGTTTTAATGCTTCAAAACTGCATTTGCCTTTTACGATTGGTTTTAGAGTGCCTCTATTATATTTGTGTAATTGATAGAAAGGTGTTGGTGTTGAAAACCTACTTACTGCAAAGATCTGGACTCCTCTTTACTGCAGGCAAATTGAATTTCGTGCTGAGATAGTATTAGTAACTTATTCTACAGTGGTAAATTTCTATTGTGCAATAACATTCTACTTTTTTCTGGTATTCAAAACCTGAAACACGTGATATGCATTAAAAGGAAAGGATATGAAATGCAATGAAGAAAAAATTCAGTGCTTCAGTAGAGACTGACCTTCTGTGATAACTGACCTTCTTAATAACCTTTCACAAATCTCTTTAATCCTCACAAAAAAGAAACAACCCCTCAAAAAAAAAAATCCCTTGAAAATTAAAAAAGTTTTTAATTTAAATTTAAAAAAATGTTTGGTTTAGGCTGAGCACATAATTTGGCTTGTCATGCAGCTAATGAGTCTTTTCCATATTAAAGTCACACAAAATTGGAGACAACAGGGAAAGAGATGAAAAGCTGAAAGAATCTGGACTCAGGCAATTACCTGAGCTGAAATGAGTTGGAGGCAAGAAAGCAGGATCCTGCACGTCTGTCCTCATGTCTACTTATGTCTGCTCTGGGAGACTGGATAGACTATTGGCATGGCTCAGTGTGATCCTTTTTATTTGGCCTCTTATCAAGAGTTTTACAGCGACCAAAGCAGACTGAATCTCATATGACCTGACACTTAACAGCAGACGGAACTGTAACCAGCATTACTGGTCTTTGATTAGGTTAAAATTATTCGGTGATTAAAGCTAGGAGATGCTGCAATGAGATCAGGTTTTGAGTTTTAAAGTGCTCTATTTTAGTTCTGCATTCAATGAAACTAAATGTCACCTATTTTCCTAAAGCCACAAGGAGCGAAAATGGGAGACCTAAAGGGCAACACTGTGACTTTGAAAGAGGCAGGAGAGCCAGAACTCTTTTTGAGGATGTTCTAAACCACTTTCTTGAAATGAGAGTAGCAGCAGTTTTTCATGTCTGACAATCAGATGGATTTCGATTCTCAATGCCCGAGACTGAAATGCAGCTGTTTATTTATGATGGTTCAGTGATCTTGCTGACCCTTTTTTTTTGTTGTTCCCCAGATAGCAATATCTAGGCAGATTAACCACCTTAGCACAAACAATACTGCTGCCTTTTTTAGTGCTATTTAAATAGTGTCGTTAAAAGACACAAGAGTAATTTTGTGCTAAGTTGCAGCAGTGTGATCCACTGGCAGTGCTCTGCCAACAGCAGAGGAACAGCCGACTGGCATGGCACCAATCCTCAGGGCTTGACAGACGTGGCTTGGGTTTGTAACAGAAATGTCTCAAAATGTGGTTTCCATCACTTCCTGAGGTGATTGAGGCGCAGGACAAATGGTCCTTTGCCAGCTTAGCATTCAACAACAGTTGTTCCTTACTCTTCGTGCATTAACTCCTGTCAGCTCACTCCATCTGCAACTCAAGAGCAACTTCTTGATGATATCTGAGCAGCTGGGGAATGTAGTCTGAAAGGACAGAAATATTCCTGAGGATTTGCCAGAAAGGGTAGACAGCCCACTCTGCCCAGGCCTGGAGGACTCTCTCACACTGTAACATTATCTGCAGCTCCACAAACAAAGCCCACACCTTCCTGTGCTCTGGCCCTGTTGTTCTGAGGAGTGAGAAGTTGGCTTTAGTTATTCTTTTTTTTTTTTAAATTAATTTGTAAAACATGAATCATTCTGAGCTAAAATTATGACTCATACTTTACACATATCTATGCTTGCTCTTCAGGAAAATAATTATCCTCAGGGATTCCTAATCAAAATCTCTTTGCAAGTAATACTTAAGTGAGATTTTTAGCTTTCTTTGGAATGTGTGCATTTTGAGAGGCTGCTATTTTAATAGATTTTGTTCAGATACATTTTCCATGTCAATTGTTTTGCCTGTTGTACTGTAAATACAGACTGCATATAGGTGTCCCGAAAATTGTTGTAGGGTTTTAATTTCTGATTTCTTTTCATCTTGCAAGTCCAGGCCTTGCCCTCAACAATGTTTAAGGAAGACAGGAGGCAGTGCTGTTTTTCCTTGTTACCCAAGCTTGAGACAGTGACAGGTAAGAGGACAGACATCAGTGTAGTTCTGCATGCTGAAGCAAGAGCCAAGAATTTCATTAAAGCTTGCATCCATTTTGAAAGGCACATCAGACACTCAACTGCACTGATGCAAAAAAATTTCTAGGAGCTGATGATCTTCTACATTCAAATTGGGACTATCGGCAATCTCCTCCTATTTACCCCAGTCTTGCCTTGCACTTCCTCCAATTATTTTCAAATGTCCATCAGCAAGGAAAAAGACAGAGATATTAGAAAAATGTTCCAGTCACCAAGAAATTGGTGACAATTTTTTAATTTATGTGGTGGCCTTTTACAGAGGATTTGTATCATGTAACTATGTCTTTTCCCTGGAAGAGAACTGCACAAAACCCAATACAAATGAGTCTTTTTCATAACATACAGCAAGTTTCCTACATATTTGGATTCATATGCTTGTTTCTTATAAAATATCAGAAAGGCTGATAGTTTTATTGCTATGCTTCAAGTGTTCAGTTTCAGAGAAACAGTTTTGACTACTGGGATCTAGGAAGTATTTGAAGAGTTTGGTGTGCTCCGAGTATGAACAATCTTAAGACTGCTGCTGTGCGTCAGCTTGCCCAGCTGAACTTTCCTTCACCAGATTTTAAACCACTTTAACCTCAATCCAGCCTCATGTGACTTGAGATTTGTGCATCTCCAAACCTCAGGCACAAAAATGGGGCAAAGGTCTGATCTACATGCAGAACTGCCATGACCAGAGAGCAAGGGTACAGGGTGCTGAGTGCACTATTTCCATTCCAATCTTTAATTTCTGCTGTAGCCTCAGCTGTTTCTGGCAAGGTGAAAATTCATAGATGAAGGATCTACTGAAGATGGGTCTCCTAGAATCACTCAACTGAGGTCTGACACAAAAATTTTAGAAATATGCTGAAGAGCTAAGATATATTCTGTTCAGTGCAGATTAGTTTAAGACATCCTTTTTGGAAAAAGGAGAAATCTGCAGAGAACAAGTGTTCGGCCTTCTGCTCAGATGAAGGAGAAACAAGGCAAGGCATGCTGGGGTAGGTAGCCTCAACTCTTTATTTAAGAGGGGGTTGCAGAATGTGGAATACAGATGAGTCCCTTATTTATGGGATAATATTCATACTGAAAAGAATATGTGGCTATAATCAGTTTTTCCATCAAGTGGAGCGGATGCAGTGAATAACTGTACAAGTGATTTATTGTGAACATATTCCAAGGCTACAAGTATAATTCCTACTTAGTGTGGATGACAAGACAATAGAATATTGTACAAACCACAACACCAATAACAAAAAAGTAATGTTTTTCTTGCCTCGGCAGACTTGCAAAGTTCTGTGCTGCTGCCTTCTCAGACTTTCCTTTGGCGTCACTTTGGGGATAGAGATTAGTTGAGTTACTGTTCAAGGGTGGGCTTAAAAAATAACTATGAACTGCTGGCCTGTATGGAGATGGAGGGGTTGTGATTAGACACAGGTTGTGTCTAGAGGCGTAAGGTGCTTTTTATGTGGTCTACTTTGACTTCTAGGCTCTAAGTCATAATGAAAACTGTCATAATGACAGAATAGGTACTGGCACTCTGCTTCCTCTTGCAAGTATGGTGTACAGAAAGCAGGGAGTATAACACTAGATCAACTTAAATATCCTGAAAACAGGAGACTCTCAATGATGATGCATCAATTAAGGGTTTTAGAAGCCAGTAACCATATATCAAATATGGAGACTATTATATAACTATAAAGGTTTGGGGTTTTTTTCCAGTGAACCTCTCTAATCAATTCTAGTTTTAATTTTTCCTCTAAGCTTGAGGAAAGTAAGTGTTGTCCATTTAGAATATGCTGTATGTTATCTCTGAAGCAGAAAAAGTTATTTTAGTTAATAAACTCATGCTATATTCTACAATTCCTGTTAGCTCTCCCCATACTACATAATGGTACAAGAAAAGTTACTTATTTTACCTTCTCTGCCCTCCTTATACCCCAAAAACCCAAACCAGTGAACCAGTTTTATGATTCCACATTCACATATTCAAAAAGGAACAAAAAAAAGAAAATTATTCTAGACATTATCACAATAGTAGCAAAATGTGAGTGGAAGAGCAGTGTATGTTATCCTTTTTAATTTTTACCAAAAGAAGCATAAGCTTTGCAAAACCCCCCTCCATGTATTATATCTGAGCGTGGTTCTGTGCTTGGGTGATTTGTAACAATTCTGTATTTGAAAAACTTCCAAAATCTGATCAGTTATGGCTGAAGTAAAGTCCTTATGTATTCTCTAAAAAAAGGATAACATAAATGAAAACACATTTGTTCATAGTAAAATCCAACTGGTATATTTTAGATCTAATTTGATCTAATTTTAATGAAAGGCCACAGAAAGAACAATTGAACTTTAAGACTACTTTTACACCTGTACTGATTTGTGCATGTTATGCATAACTACCCTAATCTCCCCTGATAAGAAGCAGCTGTAAGGAGCCCTTCAGAAAGCAAGCCTGCCCTCAGTTCTCCCTGGAGACAACTGTACAGGGATAAGGCCAAATGGCATGCAGTCATGACCAGCTTCAAAAGGATGCAGAAACGTGGTCACTTCCTGAGATCATCCAATTTATTTTCTGAAGTGAGCCTGCGATAACAAAGAAACTTGAAAGCAAGCAGGCCTCACTGGCAAATCCCATTCTATGCCTAGGATGGCTAAAGCATATTGATTTGGATGATAGCTTCCAGACTTTTCAGCAACACAAGCTCTACCTTTACCAGTTTTACTTCAGAGATCTCAAAGTACCCTTGAACAAAACAACTCTTCTCCCTGAGATGGTTTAGTCTTATTCTGTAAGTTATTCAATATTTAAAGCAAATGATGAAGACAGTTTCTAGCACCAGCAAAGCCACACAGACTCCCACACATCAAGTTCCATAATTAAGTAGTAGGTGCTATGTTTAAATGCAAGAGCCAGCACAGACTTGGCTGTCAGGAAAGACAACCTCATTACAGCTACAATCTTTGAAAATCTTAGACCCCCACCTCCAGGAGATCAGTCCTGTTATGCATTAGGACAAGCCAACCAGAGGTATCAAGTTTCCTTTTTCTATTAAGAGCACGTACTGTAACAGCTTTTCCCCGCCCATGACTACTGGAATGCTGCAGGAAGGAAAACAGGTGAACGTACACTTCTGCCTATGGTTATTCTTTTTCGAATTTATTATGAAGTTTTCCATAAATTCTTACTTTGATTTCTTCACATAGAGCCAGTAGACAACACCTGCAACCAGGGCAACCAGCAGAAGACCGACCACAATTCCCACTATTAGCTTTGCCTGGTCATTAACCTTTTCGCTATTGTCATCTGAAGCAAAGAAGAAAAGTTTAGAGATGACTTATGACAAAGTAAAACATTACACCAGTTCTAAAGAATTTTCATCAGAAACAGGAAAAGGGGTCAGCAAGTCAAAATAAATAAAACAAAAAATGTAGGCATTGTTCTTTAAATGTACTTTCATCTTTTAAGCTTCAAGAAAATCACGTCTTAGTCAATCATGGCACAAGCTATTTCAAATTAAGTCCACCTTTGAGGGACTGCAGAAATTGTGCACTGACACTATGTAGGTCTTGAACTAAGACAATCAAAAGAAAGGGTTATAGAGACAGAAAACCATACATACCAGTTCTATCCTCTGGCTCATCATATTCTGGAATACTTACTGAAATGAAAAATGTTAAAATTAAATTAAAGACAAAATGTATTAGACCTGAACATCACCTTTAATTGCCTATTTACTGCAATGACAGAAACTGAAACTTAATACAGTGTTTGCCAAACAAGGTAATTAATCTCATCTTTAAACAAAAGTGTTTGTTTCCTTTGTAATATAATATATCCAGTTGAAGAATCTTATTCAAAATCTGTGATATTAAAGTGTGCTACCCTTCCACAAACTGTAGCTTTTCACTACCTTTCATCATTGAAAAGTGGCATCTGATTAAAGCCCAGTATGGCTGATTTCTGTTGTTAGTCAAGTCATACCAGTAGTAATAAACTGGAATTTGGAGACTAAAACATTATGTTAATTTAGTAATAAATAAAGACTTCTCTCTTGTTAATAAAGTATTATTTTGCAATATTTTGTACTATTATGTTGTAATATTATTTTGTTATATTGTTTACTGTTGTAAATAGATAGCTAGCCAAGAAAGTCATGAAGACTAAGTCACTTCATCTAGAAAGCTATCAATAAATTTTATGTACTACTGATCCAGAGTGGATTTACAATTGCTTGACTTAAGACAAAAAGGTTAAATATCTTAGTATCAACATTACTAAGCAGACCTACTCTTCATTTGAGTGAGATGTGTGGGTACTTTATGAGAAACTATAACTTTAAGGAAATGATCTTTATTTATAGGACACTCACTAGCAGAGACATTCATGGAGGTCACAGTCCTTTCTAGCTCATTTTCTGCAATGCAAGTTAAAGTCACATTTTCCTCAGGAGCAATTATAATTTTACTGGCAAATTTCCCATTAACATATTTTGTTTCCTCTGTCTGAAAAAGTAAAAAATGAAGATTAGTATCCTTTAAGAAAGCAAAAAACAATACATGCACTACCTGTATTACACATTGAAAATATTCAGAGGGAAATGTCTTTCAACAAATACTTCACTTTTTCCAAACAATTGAAATATGCATTATTTTATTAAATGGTAATGTGAATATTTGAAAGAAAACAATTTGGCAACATATCTAGTTATAGATAGTATAGTGTGCACTGGAAGATCAATGATAAAGAGGCTTTTTTAAAGAAAGGTAACCACATTCTGTATTTGCTTTTCTTTCAACTATTCAAAAAATATTCCAAGTGATAAAATTCTTCAAGAAAAACCCAAACTTCTAAGCTATCCTTTCTTTCCATTTTGCTATTTTTCATTTATATCTTTATAAGGAAAAGAATTGTTCTAAGTTTTCCACTTTTCAGCTTTCCAAGTTGTTTCCACACTAAGCATTATTTTGCCAAGCTACGTGTATTTAGTAGCACCTGTAGTATCTGTACTGTAATAGTGATGTGTTGTTCCTTAAATTTGCTGTACATCATTCTTGGATTAATGCAACATCCAGAGAAAATTATTTTCAATCATTATTTGTATAGCTTCACGACAAATCCTGCCCTATAGCTTCAAGTAAATGGACACATTTTGACAGCTATACATAATTTCTGTAGGCTTAAAGCAAAACCTATTTGAAAATATATGAGATTTCATTTGAAAATGAAATCTACAGGAGCACTGTGCATTGTACTTCCAGTCACTGAATGTCTGTAGAGAGGTCTCATTTATTCTTCCTGCTAAGGCAAAACATAGCAATGCTTTGCATGGGATGCGGTAATCAATACCAAAATACTTCAGTTTGGTTGTTTTCCAGGTATTTTCCCTGCTATATATGGGTACTTCTTATTTATCCCTCAGGATGAATGCATTACCCTTCTGTTTCCAGTGAGAAACAACAGGCATAACCATACAAAAGCAACTATAAAAATTAGGATAAAAGCTGCAAACCCCATAAGGAACGATACTGAATGTAATTTCTGACTCATACATGCCACATTTCATTGCATTTCACCCAGTTAATGCCTACAGGAAGTACCCATTTGCTTTCTAATATAAGTTCTGTAGTTCCACTAATATTTGCAAAGTCTTTATGCAATGGCAAAATCAGCACATTAGACTAAGTACCCTCACTTAAAAAAATGCATATTTCATTTGTAACCTTTTCCTTCCAGTTTTGGCTTGTAGCCAGTGAATCTCCTTTGCCTCTTCACCTGCTCTATTCAAAAAACCTTTATCATAAAAAAATCATCCTTGTAAGGACCATGTAGCTACAGCTACCACTTAACCTTCTCTTAGATAAATGAAAGAGACTTATTTTCTTCAATCTTGCTACCTGAAAAATGTTCCTTGATTTTAATTTGCACACTATCTTTTGGTGAATAAAGTAATAAGAAAGATACTTGCTTTATTTATGATGCTTCCAGTACCAGTAACTGTCCACTGCACTGCTGGTTTGGGGAAACCTTCCACATGGCAGATAATTGTTTTAGACATTTTATTTGTGTTGGTTTTCTTCGTCATTTTGATTTGAGGTTTTCCTACAAGAACAATATTACAGTTAATCCTTTTGTTTAAAAAGAACAATTAATCATCATAACTATCTGCTCACTTACCTTCCACAATAAGTTTAAGTGTCTGTCTTTTCCTTAATCCTTCGACCTCCTGTAGAGTAGTTTCGCAGACGTAGTTTCCAGCATCTTGATACTGAAGACTTGAAAATGATGGACTTGTTTGCATTCTGGTATTGTCCTGATAAAGTAAGGAGTTAGAAGTGACAGAGATTAACTCACGATACATTAATCCCTAAATTAAAAATATGACTACTTTCAACAGAAGTTTTTGCATGCTTTGGCAAATTGGAGCTTTACTCTTAAGGTGTTTCCCCATTAATAATTATATTTCAATATACAGCATGAAAAGTGGAAACTACTGGAGATTTATTCAAGTCACCTCCCTTCTTCTTGAACAACTTTGCTTTCAAAAGAAGGGCAGAGTTACCAGCTCTGAGCTTTCCTAGTAGATTAGCCAAAACCACTACTGGTAGAAACTGTTTGAAATGCAAGCAACTCCACTCTAGGCCAGGCTTCTGAGATCAACATATGCTCATAAACAACCATCAGACATTATTATTTTAAGTTTCCAGCACTGCAGATTTGGTACCAGCCACTCAACACCCAGTGCTAACATCTGATCTCTCAGCCTGCTTTGTCCTTTTATTATGTTTATTGGAAACAAGATCAAGCTTGACTCCGAGAAAACAATGCACCAATCCCTGATTCTCAAAGGGCCTTCTGAAGTCTATTTCAAAAAAGTTATGTTTGTGTTACAGTATGCATTACTTCTTTATATTTGAAAACTGAACTGATAATTACAATAACTGATTTTCAGTCATCACTGTGAGTGAGTAGCTCTCATTTTAGCCATATGCATAAGACCCATTTTAACAATATTCTTTAAAAAGCCCAATGAACAACTTCCTTCCTTCCTTTCAAAACACTGAAGTAGCAGCAATAATATGAAGAGGTGAATACTCAGATGAAGCATGAAGTAGATGAATTACTGACCTTTATCCAAAACACAGTTGCATTTCTACTAGAAGAAATTGTGCATGACACAGGCAGGGCCTCTCCAATCTGTTTTGTGACTTCTCCGCTAGGAGTAAGCTGCAAATCCAAATCTGGGATAGAAAGAACATTTGTCAAAAGTTAATCTCGGAAAGCCTGGCCCATTTCAAAGGCTTACCAAGAAAAGAAAATGTGACTAATTGCACTCATTAAATTCAAGATTTCACTTCTTCAATAAAATCTAAGTCAATTTTACAAGTAAGGGAGATGAGAGAATTATTCTAAAATAGGCATTGCAGAACATTCATATTTTTGCTGTAATTATAGGCTAAAAGGAAAAGCAAAACCTCACTAATCACTAGACAAATGGATACATTTTTTCACCTTGTACTGCTGAAAGAATGATAAAATAGGCACAAGAAGCTGAAGAAGTACTTCACACAGCAGTATGTGCATCTTGGAAGGGGAAGCACAGACTCCTGTGAGGGTAGCTTGGTATGGGGCCAGGTGGAAATACATCTTCAGGGGAGAACTCGTGCAGGTGGGGACAGGTTAACCTAAATAGTAAGTGTCAAGAAAAAGACAGGAGGACAAGGGGTAATTTCCTTTAATCTGATAAAACAAGATTATTTTTATCCTCAGAATCTGGAGGGGATGACAGTGGTCAAACAGAGGGTGCATGAGACATGATACTGACTGAAGTGAGAAATCTGAATTATAGGTTTGGGGGGCTGTACATGAGGCCCCTTGATTTATTTGTTCTCATTTGTAACTTAAAATGCTATTTTTGTGTAACTCAAAAGAGTCCAAACTCTGCCTGACATGTTTAAGCTCCAGGGAAATTGCAGTCATGGATAGCTGTGTTTGACATAAGGCATGGTGAGAGCCAGTAACAGACACGTCACGAAACACTGCTCTAGGTTTTTCTTAGTATAAGGAGTTGGTGGGCTGGCAATGTTGGTGATATTTTTTGTTTGCTTGGTTGTTTTGTTTTTTGTTTTTGTTTTTTTTTTAAAAAGAAAATCCCAAACTGAAAAAAAAGAAGGGTTTGCCAAGCTAAATCTCTGTTTTGCTTCCCCTCTCACAGTGCCTTGCTTGAAAGCCAAGTTGCCTGGTCAAATGACTATCACAGATGAGTGCACATACACACACACACATACATGTGCAGTCTCAAATGCACACATGACTTCATCACAAATAGAGAATTTGCTGAAAAAGGATTGCAAAGCATCCTTTCGGTTTTTAAGCAGAGTTGAAAAAAAGCTGCAGACAAAAATCACAGTTGCTACAGGAAAGTGAGTTTTCCATAACAAAACACTGAACTTCACTACTGGCTTCATTCAGTGGTTGCCCTGGGAACACCACTGTAATTAAAGGTAGAACTTGAGGGAACAACAAGGGTTCATCCTGTACTACTAGTCCGTATTATTATTTTTGTTACGAGCCTTATGTCTAGTCCAAGGGGCCACAAGAACTGTACGTTCATCTGCAAATGAATCAAAGATCTTGATGAAGAGATAAAATGGCATCTTGTTTCTTGTATTCCTATGGGGATTTCTCCTTCTGCCTCCTGAAAGTAGTAAACGCAACCAAACTAATGTTACTGTGGCTTCCAGAAAACAAAAACAGAAACAAAGACAAGACTCATCCAGTGAGATAGTGTATAGATTCCAATGGTGTACGGGATGTGTTTCTTCTTGCTGTTACTCTTAAGCACATCTACCAAGGCAGAGGGGTTGTTGAAGAAAAAAGCTAAGATTTTTTTTTTTCCCCCTCAAGGTGAATTTCCTTCAACATCTACTTAAACCCTTTGTTCTCTGAAGCAGGACAGCACTTCAAACCCGAGATCACCAAAGACCATACAGGAGGCATTCCTCTCACATACACCATAAGAAACAGAAACTCCTGAAATTTTTTGCCTTCATCTCAGGCAACACTGACACTGAGCCCAGAGCAATCCTTCAGCCCAGTGCTCCTCCAGGGTAGCATGCGTGTGCACCCCCAGCCTCTTTTTGCGGTATAACTGAGAGTACAGTCCCTCTCACACAGCGGTCTTGGTTGCTAAAGAAGTTAGGAAAATTTACACTGTATGAGACGAACTCCATAGCTCAGAGCAGAATTTGCAAGGTGATTTATGAGGCAAGTACAGAATTAAGCTACTGTTTAACATAGGATCCCCTCTAGGAACTCTACATGAGCAATTTGATTTGGATTAATATTCTGCCAGTTTATCTGTAGGGCTCACAAAGAAATGTGATATAGATACTTTTACCTCTCTACTTTTATGCTCTATTAGTAAGTAATCTCTCCTTGGTACAGAAGTATGAGGAGAAAATATTTCTTGCATACATTAGACTGTCAAAATTAAATTTTTGTTTTCATTGAAAGAAAAACTTTTCTGCAAGAATTTTCTGTACATTTCCCGTTTGGCTTTGAAATGTTCTTCAGAAACAAGCTTCTCATCAGGCAGCATTTTCAATATATGCTCGCTCTTAATGTGGTCTCACTTGAAGTCTTGCATTGATTTCAGTGCTGCCTTTGCATACCAAGTAGTGCAGGGAAGAGACATATAGTGCATTCTGCACACGTTACCACATCATGTGAGAGAGATATGGAATTAATGTGGGGAAGATTGGAGCATACGTTTCAGTTTTGAAACTCTGTGGCACATACAGGACAGACTCCCAGCATTTAACAGAGACTTCTGATGGAATACTGTGCTACAGCTGGGAAAACTATGCACAACACTTCCCTGTTGTCTGAACTCCATAAATATACTAGCAGAAAACCAGAAACTTCTCCTAGTATACTGAGAATCGATTTTTCCACGTAACATTCAAAAGGTGATTTTCCCCTGTATTTTCAATGACTTTACTGAAAGAAGAGACAAGACAAGACAAGGCTATAAAAATATCTATAGAGAAACATAAATGCTAAATTTCTAAACCCTTTAATTTACTGGAAGGTTTGCAAAACTATTTCCCCAGAAAACACATTTTAGCAGAAAGGAAAGCATCACAAAGAAGAAGTTCCACAGACCTATCTACTCCATACTGAGTCCTACATGCAGAAACAATTAGAGAATCATAGAATGGTTTAGGCTGGAAAGGACCTAAAAGATCATCTACATCCAGTCCCCCTGCCATGGGCAGGGACATATCAACATTAGACCAAGTTGTTCAAATCCCCATAGCAATAGGTAATGAAAGGGGACTGTGGGCTGAAAGAGTTGCTTCTTTATAACTGAGGGAAGGTACACCTGTCCTCTATTGTTAGTTGCTTTCCTTGCCTCACACAGGGTGTGCTTCTCTATCTGTTTAAGTCGTTGCAAACACCTTTTGCCCTGGCCTGTTACTTCCTGGCCTCTGCCAGTTTTACTTATCTGATCCTGGATGAACTCATTCAAGGATCAGAGCCGGCAGAAAAATTACAACACAGTGTAAAAAAACCCAAACTCACAACATAAATCCCGTTCTGTTGCTCCCTCTCTTGAGGGACACATCATGCCAACTGCAAGCACTCAGTTCTGCTGGACTTTACACTGGGACCTGGCTGCACAAAACCTGCTCTGAGGGACAAGAGCTTGAGTTGTCCAGTTTGTTCTTTATATTCTGTGGATAAGGTAAGAGAATCTTTCGGCCCCCCCTGCAATTTTCTTCATAAATAAAGTATTTCCCTAAACATTACAGGTAACTCAGATGCTTTACTGTAAATTTTCAACTTTCTGCGAGTCTTATAATTTATATTCACCTTGGAAAAAAAAGAGCTCAGTATTCAGCCAGAATATTCTCCTACAAAAATACTTGAGGGTTATGACAGGACAATGTTTTTTCATACCAGGAAGAAGATTTCCCTACCTAGACACTGAAAGGAATCAGTGTAATTATAATGCTCAATAAAATCTGTTTGTGAAAAAACACTACATTGAAAATATAACGAATTACTATAAATAGTTTCCCAGATTAAAACCAAAATTATTATACTGCTGCCTTCTTGTTGTGTTCATGGTTTTGGGTTTCTTAAAAAGAAAATAAAAAAGCTAAAATGCTGAGATTGGATGTGAGGAAATGGAAAGCCCTGACTCCTAATCAAGGCTTTTTCAGGTGCAACAGCATAGACAGAAATATTCATCTATATGTGGAAAGGTAAGCAATAAAGCAAAAGAGGGAGAAAAAGAAGGATTTGATAGGCATTAGTAAGTATTATTTGAAGGAGGAAAAAACATGCTGCAGAAATGCTTTAGACCAGCATAAGGCAAGACACCAAAATAGCTTAAAGACAGGGCATTGTCTGGATATTCAGGAATTACAGAACTATTCCAGGCCACTGTGCCTCAGTTAAACAACGGTTTTATTGCAGGTAGCGGTATTTTGGAAAAACAGAACATAACAAAATGAATCCTAAATGAAGAGAAGCAATAGGGTGCTAGAGTGTACCTATGAGTTCTGAGTAGCTGCACTAGCTGCCAACACTGGAAAGACTTGTGCCAAGAAAATACATGCTTCTCTGGCATACTAAAGCTCTTCCAACATGCAGAGAAAATAGAGAAAGGAAAACTGGCTTGTTATAAATCACTTGGAGCTGAGGAAGCCATTCTTTAGAATAACTATTTATCAAAGTATAAGTAGACACTTGGAGTAAAATAAAAGGGTCAGTTATACCAGAGCAAAAGACCAGCAATCTACTTTTGATATTGGGTAGTTAAGGCAGTAGTACAGGGCTCTTTTCAGATCTTACACACCCAACTCTTGGCAAAAAGGGGAAGGAGAAAAGGATGACAGTGGATGATCATATTAAAGGTAAAATATTCATTAAATGGAATAGTGTAATTATTCATGTACAGATATATTACTCCTGGGCACATGTTGTGACTCTGGGGGATGGTCCTCTGCAGGGCTAGGGGTTGGGCTCAATGATCCTTGTGGGTCCCTTCCAACTCAGCATATTCTGTGATTATGTGATATTATGCATGTATTGTAACTCTTTCAAGAAAAAAAAATTCAAAACCAAGTATACAAACATGAAATTTCTTTTTATGTAAAGCATAACTACTGCAGAAGCCTTTAAACTTCATTATCTATCAGATCCCTCTGAACCTGTCAACTACTAAAGGTATTTGTGCTACTGTGAAGACTACAAACCATCAGTGTTTTTAGGGAAAACCTACTACCACTAGCCTGAGTCTCATTTCACAGCCTGTGATAGCAGAGCACAGTTTGAAAGAGTTCCTGCTCTTGTTTTCTCACATAAAGAGATTAAAAGCAACCATTGCTTCAGTGGTTCAACCAGTTCAATGGCTGCTTTTGAAGTGTTGCTGATAGTATGAGTAAATACTCCAGTATCCAGCTAAAGAAAATTTACTGAGGTCTGTAGCTGTCATGATTCTGGGAAAAGTAAAAGAAGCAATTTTTCCTATGTGAACAAAATGACTTCCTAAGTCTCTTTTCTACACTCCTTACACGTTACCCTCATTGAGGTAAATACGAACTTGGCTATGAAGAATGACTTTCAGTGATATCACTGTGGATCAGCTTGGTGTTTGTGTGCATTCTAAGGCACAGCTGGAGGAAAATAATTTGCCACGTATATGTTCACATGAGTGATATATAAAATACCAAAATTCTCCCTGTATGTGACAGTGCAATAATATCATATACTATACAAAAGTTACATAAAGAGAATTTGTATCTAGGCAAATGAATACAGAAAGTTAGGATTTTCAAACAGAAATACATTAGAATAAAGAAAAATGACCAGACACTACTTCAAACCAACTGCTTCACTCAGTTCTCCTGTAAGCAACTGAACTAATCTACCTAACTAAGCAAAGAGGGCATTCTGGAAGGTCCAAGATCAGTTTGTATCCTAGACAGGAATGCAAAATGCAATGACTTACAGTGCACAGTGATGGTGGTTGAATCCACCATGCTTTTGTCAGTCAGAGAGCATTTGTATTCTCCTGTTGCATTCCGCCTGACATCTGTCATTACGTAAGTATCTGAGCTCCTTATACCTTCTGTTTCTCCCTGCAGATGGAAAACAAAACATTTATTGTATGTGGGCCTGCTAAAACCATTAATTTTTGTTGAGGATTTTTTATTATAAGAATGATGAAATACTCCAAAATACACACACTGAAGTGGAACTACCTGTTAAATATAGTAAGGTTTACTTCCTGCATGACAACATAGCTGAAAAAACACCTACAAGCTTACTCTTTTAACTGAATGACTAAATCATTTGTAGAGGACATTAAAATACAAAATTTGAAAGTTTTGCAGAAAGATGCAGTCTACGAATAAAAGTGTTGCAGAAATCAAAGCAGCAGAACATTTTGTGGTTTTAAATCTGATTCTGATATGATATATTCAGATGAGGAAAAATCATTAAGTGAACTGTACTGCATTACACACCTTGAATGACCCAAGCAAACCTTGCTTTATCCACATCATGATATAGAGCCTGTTAGGATATACAATACTTTCTATGCAGTTATCTACAGACACTGGTGTTTTGAATTAGTCAGCAAGTGCTGCTTTCTGGCTGTCCAGTTCCCCAGTTTCCCCCTGATTACAATGGACAGACAGATCAGCTTTAAAACAAGCACAGACTGATACCCTAATTCCTATCTCTGAATCCAGAAAAAGATTTATAATACCCATGAGTCTTGCAAAGAAATCACCAACTCCAGTTCTCCTTGAGAAAAAGGACTAGTATCGGGTACCAGGGAGAAGATAAGACAAACTTGGGTGTTTAGCTCACTGACTGTGATACTGGAGGAAGGAGAGATACCATTCACTTTCTTCCTGGCATTTAGTGAGTTCTTAGGATGACTAAGTGGCCGTTCTGAGATAAGAGGATTTCAGCTCCCAGTTTCCCTTGCTGCTCTTCAGCAACTCAAACATGCCAGGAGTCCAGAGTAGATGACAATTATGCTCAAATGGTGACATGTTGGTTTTGAAATACCTGAAAACATGCCACTTCTTTTGGCTTCTCTCAAGATCAGCTCTGCTCACTACTGCAGTAGGAACAAATAAGGGATATAATATAGGATCAAGAAGCAGGACATGGGAAGCAGGGCCAGAAGTCTTGGAATATAAAGTCACATCTGTCTGTGGATTTCATCAATACTAAGAAGATTAATAGTAACAAAGCTTTTATTTTTCTCAGTCTGTGTCTTACACATTTGGCAGATTTGTTCTCCTGTGCTGTCACACACAGTAGTTTTTGTGGTTTTATGCCACCAAACAATTCATTAACTGAAGAAAAGAAATTGCACAAAGATTCATCTATGAAAGTCCAAAAAATAGCTAAGGTAATTTCCTGTACTTTCACTGCTGGATTTTTGTTATGACAACAGATGAGATAGTTTTCTTCAAGATGCTAAACTGCTGTCATTAAAGCTGTTTATTAAAGTATATAATGATGGGAAATGAAGCCTTGTAATTTTTAGTAGGGTCTAACTTCTGAAAAATTCAGGTGGGCTGTGGGGAAGGAGCAACGTTTTTTCAAAAATATTTTGCCAACTGAGGTGAGGCGTTCTCAGAGTCTGATATAATGGCCAATGTCTGTCGTCAGTGTTTGTCGCATTGAATTCCTTCCTTCATTTGTTATAAAATCACATATACACTGACATGTAGCAATGTCTGTAGGAAGGGATGATACAGAATATTTCACTATGCACTGACAGCAAGGCAGGACTTACTGGAATGTAAAACAGGAACTCCTGTGGAGGAGGGTTGCCATTTCCTGAGCATTTCAGAGTGATGTTATCGCCTTCTTTAATGGTCCTACTTTGTGACAGCACTTGAATAGTCACCTTCTCTGTTGGATCTGTGAAAATAATGTACACATTTAATAGCTTCTGCATAATCCACCCAGCAAAACGATGCATATGATATTCATGGCCGAAGAGAACGCAATTTTATCATCCTGCAGGAGAAGATATTCGCATGTGTAGATCTTTTTATAAAAGAACTTGAAGTTAATCTTTCTGTATTTTTGCCGATTAAGTGCAAAGAAGTCATATGACATAAAATTCATTTTTCTTCACCAAAATACCTGTAACTGAAACAGCAATGATTACAACCATGTCATGTGCTTAAAAGCAAAAGAAGCCCTGATTAGTATGAACCACTTCATGGTGTGATTTCATTATGAGGGATTAACTTGTCCTCTGTGAAGTTCCCTGTTTGGAGGACTGCAGCAATCAGAAAAACAACTGAAGCTCTCAATGCCTTGTAATAGTACTAGATAATAGCCTTCTGGCATTAAAAAGAAAGAAATATGAACTAAGCAACTACGTGCAGACTATTCTATATGCTGATCACTACAGGCTTTCAGAAAGATGAATTTGGTGAACATAATAGGACCCTTAACATAGTCAACAGAACAGTAAATGTAACGTACTTCTGTCATGTTCAGTGAAGTTGAACTATAACTTATACTTTACTTTTGTAATTTTTTTTGAGGCAAAGATAGAGTATTTTTAACAGATGCTATTCTTTCTAAGTAGAGGCCTAAATATAATTTTTCTAAAACAAAGTAAAGTGAACAAAATTAAAGAAAACAATATGGGCAGATAACTCTCGCTGTGTTAATTTTAAAGCATAAATAAAATTCCATCAAAGATGCCAGTCTTGCATTAAGATACAGTACAGTGCACCTTATCAGACACTAAAAAAATCTACACAGCAGAGAAACCCTCGCCTGACAGGTGATTTTGTGTGTTTAGTGAAGCGTGTGCTCTACAGCCCTTCCAACCCTTAAGGCATTTATCATGTCTGTCTTCTGCTATGGGATTTCTCAATAACAGGAGCTGCATTTGATTGTGGCCTTTTGGGCTGAGAGCCCTAACAGAGCACAGCATTTCACCACCCCTCCTCACAGAAGGAGGGGTAGTTTGTTTCAACAAGCCACATCCTCCCTCCTTCAGATGCAATAGCCTCGGCTCCCTTCCACAGCCAAACCTTCCACCTCAGTACCTTCAGAGCTGAAGCACAACTTTGCCTGCTTAGAAAATGGAATTCCAACATTGCTGCTGGTATGGAATAGAACAGATGCAATGAAATAGCTGGCCAGGAATGACATGCACACCTCTTGGTGGCTGCTGGGCCAAAAAACCCAGTTTCAGGGGCTGTTACAAAACTTGTCCCTCCATCAAGTTTGTGCTAAGGTGACCAAATGTGAAAAGTTATCATAAAGGATGTCTACATATATCCTGGAATTGCTTAGGCTTTGTCTCAAGACTAAAAAGGGAGGACTTTTAAAGAGTAAGACATTAGAATTTAAATTTTGAACAGGTTTTCCCACAGAGACAACAGCATTGGATTAAAAATGGATACAGTTAAACAAGAGTGACATTCTTGCAAACCACCAATCTTTTCTGTAGGAGGATCTTACACTTCTATCTACTGCAATCAACCAGGAGCAAATTTTTAATTTAGTTCTCCAAACTGGAAAAAAAAATCCACAGAAGTAAATACCAAAAGACTAATTAAACTGTTCTCTAAGGTGAAGAGGTCACTCTTTTGAGGAAGATGCAACCTGATGACAGGAAGAGAAGGTGCCCAGTGCAATGCTGAGTGCTGCTTGGCAGAGTAATGTGCTCTCCTGCTTTCACTAATATACAGAAGCAGCCTGGTGTATCTTGCCTCTCAGTGGCACATATCACTGATTGGCCCATTTTACCTACTGCTTCTGCAAACCCAAGATTCTGCTTTCTACAAAAGCAAAATTCTAGGAGCCAGCACCAAAAGGCAGTTATTTAGCAAATGAATGCTGCTATCCCAGACCTGCCACAGCCGCTGTGCAACTTCAAGGAAAATACCAACGCTGGAAGCTCTAATCTGTTATGGAAAGCAGTTTATCCATAACAAGACAGACACTTTAACAACAGGGCATGACTGGAAAGTCTGCCTGACAAACACTATCTTTTTACATGGATTAATGCTGAGCACAACCCAACATAACTGGAGCCTAGATAATTAGATATCTGAGATACTATCTAACTGCCCAGCTTCAAGAGTTCTCTTGTAGTACTCATGTTCCTTTTGGTAGCTTCCTTGCTGCAGCAGCAAACCAGAGCTGTTAACTGCTGCTGGCCGAGCTAAATTACCCTATTCCGAGTAGCATCCAACTCAGCAGGTGCTAATTCACTCTTCTTCTCATATTAAGTTACAGAGGCTGGCTGCTTCCAGGATGTCAACTAGCTATTAAACACTTGAGTACTAAAGTCTGCACTAACCCAAACCTAAAGATAAAATAAAAACCCAAACCAAACAGGAAAACATTTCTTAGATCTTGACTGAATAGGTATATCTTTAAAAACATCTTGTGTAGGCATGGTTTTAAGCATGCTCTCCACATTTATTTAGGATAAATGACTAAGTTGCAAGGAATGAACAGAAGGTCTTTATGATTTTGCTCTACTTGCTTTAGAGATGCAGAACATGATAGTTTTGCAGTTAATCTAAAAAAAAAAAAAAAAAGGCTGAAAGACTTCCATTTCTTAAGAGTTGGAGTCTGCTAGTTTTTTTCATCTGCATTATATTTGACTCATTAAAAAATCACATTTATTGAGAAAGAAACTAATTAGGATCACTGAACTAAATTAAAAATAAAAAAAAAAATCAGACACATCATTATCATCAACTAACAGCAGTCACAAAACTCATCTGTTGAAGCTTGGACATCTATTAACAAAGAATTTCATGAATTTATTTGAAGATGCATTTAAGTAGAATAAGGAACTGAAGTTACAGCAGATGAAAATACTCAGAAAATTGGGTAACTCATACTCTGAAGCCAAAGTTCATACTTGACGCCTCTTCACTACTGAAGGGTGTGCCAGCCTCCCACTACTCACTAATTAGCAGCACACTGGAGAAAATAATTAAATCATGTGTTACCAGAGGAGGATTAGAAGAGCTAGTCTAGCAAACATTAAATCTTTAATACAGAGGGCACGTTATACATGGCCTGTGACTTTCCTGCAGGTGTGCAGCCTTTTTTTCCCCTTCATATCGGGCAGTTCTGACTTGCAACTGCAGGTAGCACATGCAGCACAGAAATCTGCAAGAGCCTCACCCTCAAACAGGTGAAGTACCCTAGTGCATGTAAGTGGTGGGGAAAGGAGGACAGGTTTACTCTACTTTTACTTTACAGTAAACCCAGAAAAATAAGAAATGCCTCTAGTTTTAAAGTGCTGGAATAGGCGTCTGCAGGTTTGATACATCTATGGTATTTCCATGGGTAACAATTACTAAAAACTGTATTATGCATTTACTGCATATTTCAGGGGTCACAGAGAGTCACTGTAATCAACCAGTATAACTTCTCTTAAAGTTCTCAAAAGCCCATTTCACTGTAACTGTTTATGGTTACTACTTTCCTCTTGTCAATGAAATGTTGATATTCAGTATTTCACTGTTAGCAAAAAAGAAATCTCACGTAAATCTCAAGATAATAATTACACAAACAATGTACTCAGACCTTCTTGATGCAAATCAACTTTGAAGAAACCATTTCAACAGCCAAGCAGTAATTGTCTCTGTAATTTTGTAAACCTCTTCTGATTGCTTTCCCCCACCCCGAGGTAGACTTCGTACAGCAGTAGATGCTTTTTAGTAACTTACAGTGAACATCAAAGACAATTGGTTCAGACTGTATTGTTTTCTGGCCAGATGGTCCATAATAAGTCACAATGCAAGAAAACTTGGCATCTGCATCTTCCTTTGTTGGCATGTACTGAAGAGATGATGTCATGGTGAAGAGTCCAGTTGATTTGTCCACAATCTTCTGCAAATTTATAACCACAACTGAAAAGGAAATAATGTTTCGGTGTCACACAGACAGAATTTGTAACCTTTTTCCTGTATTTTGTTTCCTGCTCTGTATTTGTGATCAGGCTAAAAACATGCAAGCAACATGGCACATTACAATGTTTTCCTCTAGTACTGCTAGTTATACCAGTTACACCAGGAATGTTTTATCAACAACATACTCATAACATGCTGAACGTTTTAAATCACATCCAAACAAAAACTAATTGCCAACTGTTTTTTCTTTTTAAATACAAATCTCAGCTTAATTTGTAAGACTGAAAGAAGGCGTCAAAAATTATGTCAAAAAATGTAGGATCATATTTATATCTTAACCTTTTAAGCACTCTCTAGTTTATGGAAGATAAAATATTGTGGTCTGATCAGTCTGTCAAATTCAAAGTTGAAAAAAGAAAAAAAAAAAGCTGTTCTTAAATATCCTGGAAAATAAATACCTGTACAAGATGATGATCTACATGGTCCAAAACAGAGTATTGGATAGGTTTGAAACTGAGACAGTTAATATCTTAAAGGAAGTTGGAAATTAGATACAGGTTTTTACTAGTTACATAGGCTCAAGAATAGCTTTGCAATAGCATTAACAAAGATAACCCTCCTCCCCATGATGTGGTTTTAAAACTGGAACTGAAAGAGATTATATGACATAGCTTGAGTACTCAGAAAAGCCTAAATTTTCCTTCCAGCTAAATCTTTCCATATGAGCAGTTTTTCTCAAAGGAAGAATACATTACAATAAGGCAAAGCAACTCTTATAAACACAGTTCTTCACGCATACACCCGTCTGTGGATTCAGGGACACCGGCCGTTACCGAAACGTACCATCTTCCACGGGCTGCAAAATTCTCCCATTTTTGTACCACGTAACATTGCCTTCAGGATAACTATCTCTTGCAACGCACTCCCCAAGCTGCAAAACAGACAGGAATTAGTCGCTGTTTTTCTCCACTAGGTTTTAACATTTTTACTTATGCTGCTTTGGGTAAAAATTTCTAGAAAGTTGAAATGCTCAACCACTTTTCTTAAATAGGACAAATCGAATCAGTGAGGCTGAGGTACAGTTTGGAAGAAGGAGGTGGGTCTAAGATCAGGATGGCCTGTTCACAGAATCAGGCAGGGATAAATACTACTGATAAATAATACTGTGGTGAGGGAACTGCTCTGTGCTCAACCTGGCTATAGACTATGATCTTTCGCAGGCAAGTGCGTGTGCATGCACACACACCCTCTCTGAGCCATCACCTCTCTCTGGACTGTAAAGAGACTTCAGGCAGCCATCAGGAACATAACTTTGAGGGAGAATGCTGCTCTTACCATTTGTAGCTTCTCTGTTTCTAAGAGGTCTGCTTGATGTAAGATTTCTGGTTGAGAGGGTTGTTCTAAAACATAAATAGGATAAAAGTACTGGTGAAGGGAGAACAAACAGCTGTTTGAAAAACGCAAAATTACTACAAGATATGTGGACTTTGTGACTAAAGAATAATCTGGCCTGATACAGTCTTAGCTACGTTTTCCCATTAAAAGAAGAAAAAGTGACGTACTTCTATCTCAATATTAGCAAATGGATTTAAAAGTATAAACTATCACTTTAAAATGTTTCATACTTCCCATAATGAATTCCATGTATTCTGATGATACATATTTTAGCCAGACAGACTAGTTCAGCACCCAGGAGGAGAGAACCTGATCCTATCTATAAATTTACATGATACACATGCTGGAGAACGAGCCAGTGGTACAGAAACTATAGCAACAAAAAAGTGGCTTTTCTGCAGATACTAGTGTAGCTGAGCTGTCACTTTATAAAGGAACAAATTCAACCTAATCCTTTTCTAATGCTTATTTTTCCTAACTGGGATTATTACATTTAAGAAATTCAGATGATAGAGAGAAGTGTAATTATTTTAACTGATTCTGAGTTAGTTATGACTCTCTTAAAAAAAAAAACAACTTTTTCTTCAGCACCAGTACATATTCTTATTTACTTTTATTATGGTAGATGGACCTCTTAGCTTGCCAAAGTGGAGGATCTATCAGTGTTTCCATCACAAAAGACTACTTTCTAGAGACTATATAACTTGTCCGTTACAATAGTTTGGCCTGAAGCCTGAAATGCAAATTTTTATCTCCAAAAGAGACAGTTTTCCCCACAGTTTTAAAAGAAGAAGAGAAGAGTGGAGGGGAAAAAAAATAAATCAATGTTTATACAGTTGAGGAAAGCCTCTACACTCCAGCTATACTGCTTAAATAAGCATACTTATTCTTAATGATGTCAGCTTACAAAACCCTTTTCCCAAATCAAGCTCTGTATGAAATGCTGTATGTATGTTAGTAATCCCAGAACAAAGGGAACTTCACCACTATCTTGCCAAAATCTCTACACACACTGATGAAGCTACTAATGTGCAGGCATACTGCTCCTGCTGGCACAGAGATAGCAAATCTGTATGTTTTCACAATAATCCATTTTCTTTTTGTGCATCTGCGATTTGTGTGCACACAAGTGCACAGATATTCTTCACTTGGATGACTACACCAGGACAAAACAAAAACAGCTCAAAAGGAAAATGAAAGGTAATAAAAGCTATTCATCTGACATTTTCAAACAACTTTGCTTGTGGCAAAAAAACCCCTAAAACCAAACAAAAGAAACAGTCAAAGCTATACACTAAACCCATCATATTTTTTTTCAAAGGGCTAATAGATTTTTTTTAAGAGATGTATGTATGTTTATTTCTCTTTTCTGTAAGAACCTGTCAAGAACAAAACATTTTCATGTCAATTCAAGCAAATATGGTTTTACGAGACCATTAACAGGCCTTCTGGTTCAGATTTTCAGATCCCATAAACAGCCTTGCAGTTGGCTGCTGTCACAGTCACCAGATGATCAAGCCATACACCTTCCCCCACCTGAGCCTTTCTTCCTTTCATCTCTCATCTCCCCCAGCACTTGTTTAAGAAGACCCTCTTTTTGGTGCTTCGGATGCTCCTGTCCCGCATGATCCTACCGAGGGAAAGGGAGGACCCCGTGCTCCATGGCCACTATGTGGAGCTCTCCCTGTTTTGAGTGCTCTGGTAACCGAGCAGATGCTCCAGCTGAGAGGCCACTACCAGCTCTCTGACAGCAGTCTCCAAGGGGAAACGCCTGCTGCCAGATCCCCACAGCCGCTGCACAAGCACCAAGGTAATTCACTATAAAAGACTTACTTGGCATTTACCAGCTCAGCGTCTGAAGCAGGGGAAAAATTTAAACTTGGCAGCAGCAGAGCCCACTTTAGTGGGTTTGCAACTTCAGCACACTGCTTATCTCTAGGCTTAAGAGCTTGCCAGAGTACTTTGCAACTCTATATAGGCCTTATAATAGAGGGAAAAAGAGTTCATCTCCTGCAAAAGCCAAGCATCAGTGCAGCGGGACAGCAGCTCATGTCCTCTGGGCTGCTCTGCTTTGGAAACTGGCCATTTAATTCCAGAAAAAAGATGCTGACAGGATCCATCTGGAAAGCTGGTAGCGCTTGTTTGAGTAGTCCAGTGAGTGAGACTAGCAGGTGGTACCTGCACAATGAGCCATTTCAGCTCGTTAGTTCTGAGTTAATCAGGTAGCACAGCTGAGGACATAACAAGCTCCAGCAAAACCCAGCATCAGTCATGACTTCTGGGTTGCAGCTGAGTTTCAGGTGCACAAGATTTTGGTTTATGAGGGTCACACTGCTGCAGGCTAGCTCTGTACCTGTGGCTCAATGAGTTAGAAGCTCTACTGGTTAAATAAATGAAGCTTGCCAGCTACTCTTTCGCAATTAAAGCAAGCAACCAAGCAACACAAAATGAAAACTTAAAAAAACAGACTCAAGGAAATTAAATGCAAAGAAAAGTTAAGAGAACCACAAATAAAGCTGTGAACTCAAAATGAAAAACTGCAAAGGTAATTTTTCTTGCAGCACTAAGTTGGCCATATTACACATGTGGCATCCTCACTTCTTATCTAACTTAGTAAGTAGAAGCTCTCTCTATTAGTATTAATGCATACAATAAACCAGACAGGCTGGGCTCCATGGCTGAGCTAGCACTGTGTTAATACTTAGTACAGTACACAGTAATTCAAGCAGTTAGCACTTCATTTCACCACATACCACTGTCTCATCTACATATTTACTACTGTGCAATAAGTAAACATGACAATTCTTTATGATTTCCTTTGGAGCACTGTGCTTACTACGGGTGCTCTGAGCACACACCTCCCAGTTGTCATTAATTCGATTGTTCTTGCAGTCAAATTGAAAGTGAAACGAGGGAACAGAATTACTATTGGCTCCTAAGCTTGCTTGAAACTCATTTATGCCACTGACAGATTTCTGCCTGGACACCATTGACAACTCCCTGACAGAAGCATAAGTCTGTCTTTCCAAAGCATGTATCTTTTTTTCAGAGTGTGATTTCTTTGAAACTGCCCATCCCTGCAGTCAGCCTGTTCCCACAACAGATACCTACTTTGATTGTGTAAATCTGCACCTCAAGAGCAACAAAGGCCAAAAAAAAGCCGTATAAAAACATGAGGCTAAGGAAGATAAGACACTGCAGTCACAGACCTGTGTCCCTAAAAAGCCATAATGGACACCTCCACAGGCTGAGTCAGGGTTTGGCAGATTAAGTTGCTGCTCTGAATCAGCCCCAGGAAGAGGCCAGGCTTGTTCATGCTCCTGTGTGAGCTCCAAGCAGGGCTGTGCCTCAGAACGCTGGGGTTCGCCCTGCACACCAGCCTGGCAGTGGGGCTGTGGTGATACCAAACCCTAATAAACCCTGCCATGCTCTAAGAGAGAACTGCAGACTGGTATTCCTCACGGTAGTTCAGCAGGGGACAAAGTAAGCATTTGGGGCTAGTGGCTCGTTTTCCAGTCTCCTGCTCTCTCCCTCACGGTCCATACTGTTGCACACTAACTGCTCAGAGCCGCTTTAAACCTCTCCCCTGAACTAATCCTACAGACCGCACACAGTTAATGTTTCCCTCCTGCAGAAAAATTTGCTCGGAGAACAAATGGAAAATAATCAATGCTAATTTTACATTTTTCATTTCCAAGGCCAAATGACATCACATAAATGAGTCATTATCAAAGCCTAAAATTCTCTTTGAGCCAGCACTTATCATGAATAAACTGCAAGTGCAGGCAGTCCTGTTACATAAATGCCACCAGTAGATTATATTTTTGAAAGCTGCAGAAATTTGCTAGTCTTAGTAATTTACTCAGCCAAACTTACTTTCTTGGCTTTAATCTTTGCCTTAAACAAAAGTTTCTGTAATTTATGATTCAGATGCTGATGAATGTTAATGGCAGTAACAACTAGATTTACTTACTGAAAACTTTGACTATCGTCGGCTCTTCGGAAACATCATCTTCTGTAACTAGCATACATACAAATCTCTTTTCATCGCTGATTCTTGCATTCTTGATGGATAATGTATAGTTTTCTGAGAGACTCAACCTGTCTTTGTAGTCTGGTACATCATCATACTGTACACTTTTTTTTGTTGATGATCTGAAGGCAATAAATACTGGAGATCCATTTGGCATTTCCTATAATAAAAGGATAAACACCTCTATTTTGCATAAACACTCATTTAGAAGTTCCTGAAGATTTGCAATTGGTACAAACCTGTAATGTTAAAAAAAAAATAAATCTGAAAACTGTATCAGATGGCTTCTTTCCTGATTAATTTCTGCTGTACATAGAAGAAATTCAGTGTAGTCTGAGAGCTACTTTAAGACTGCCACGGTACACATTGAGAAAATCGTTAGTAAAAATAATTTCAATCCTTTGGCTCAATCTCAGCATAACAAAGGGCTTTCTCTGATAAAGGCTGGTGTTTTTGGCACCACTTGCCTCTGCCTGTATGAAAAAGTATTTGAAATAGAAGCATGTGTGAGCTAGGCTCAAAAGCTTCAGTTGCCTTGTTTTTCATTATTGTTTTACATATTCATATTGTTTGTCTGGGATATTCAGACTTCATTCCAAATGCAGGATTTTAATCAGGCGTAACTGCCTATTTTATTCTAAATTAGTTTTTAGCTTCTTTTCCCCTTTGTTTTTAAAGGACCCGAGAGCTTGTAGCATGGGACTATACATGCAATCAAATATTGTTATTTTGCATGTCAGTATAATCTGCAATGTATCATTTTCTAGACATCCTCCTTATATTAATCAGTATGCAGTTGCCATCCTAAGAAGGAATACAAAGTTGACAGCCTTGTACAAACCTCCCATATAAATATTTCTTTTATGAGGGACAAAGTTATAGGGGCAGATCTAGGGGATTTGATTCCCCCCTCCTTACACAAACACAGGCACAGAACAGGGAGGGACATTGTCTGTTTTTATTTAAAGTGAGGTGAAACATTGACTCTACCTTTACATTCAAGTATTGTACTGAGGGCTGGGAAAGGTTTTCATTCCCTTTTATCCCTTATACCTTGCAGCACTGATGTTAGTAGTGTTCCCCAGCACAATACCTCAGTTTGAGTGCAGAGCCCACAAAAGCATGACGATGCTGTGACAAGAGAAGAATGATGCCAGAGCAGGGCAGAGAGCAGGAGGCATCACCTAGTTGAGAAGTTTAAATTCCCTTACAGTCTTTCTCCCTCTCCTGCTTTTAACTCTTGGATTTGTCTAGATGTCTGTCACACAGGAAAGAAAACATTGCATTGACTCAATACACAAGAAGTTGGCTGTCAAGTGCGAGTGAACTCTTAACTCCAGACGCGCACCCAGCGCAAGCACACCCAGGCAGACGCTGAAGCGACACAACGCCTGCTCCTGCCAGGGTGCAAGTCTCCCAGGGGGCTCCCACCAGGAACTCAAATTGCTCCTCCCAAGGCAGAAGAGCAGAAAACAGAGTTCCTCCTTTTTCCAATGAAATAATCACCTGACCAAAAAATCCTAATCCAACCCTCCTCTCGCCCCAGGACAAGCGTTACCAGGCTGTGAGCTGCCCTGGGAGAATGGGTATCACTTTCGCTTGGTTGTATGGGCTGTGTCAACGATTCCATACAACAGCAACTTAGGTTTTTTTGTATGTTAGGTTTTGTGTCCCTTTCCATTTAGAAGAAGCTGTAACATCTCTATTTGCTGCTTGGTACTTGTCCAACATAGGCAATCCAAATGCAATGGAAAGAAATAATGCATTTCTTTTTTTCAGAATATCCTTGCATCTTCATAGAGATGGACTTGTGTCTTCCCCAAAAAAGTCAGCAGACTAAAAAATACATTGCAAAATGTAGGCACTCCACCTTCCAAATGCTCATATGAAACAGTTTTAGTGCCCCTTTTTGGGGAAACATTCTCCGCAGTCTTCTGACTTCATTTCCCAAATGGGCTTGCAGGAAAAGAACTATTGAGTGGATGGGGGCTGCAAAAGCTGCAAACCTGAAGGTATAAAGGAAGTAGCCACGGGGGAATAGGACACAGCCCCCAGTGGCAGATATTCTGCTGTAAAATAGGCTGGTGGATGCCATTTGCAAAGAGAGAGAAAGAACTACATAATATTTAAATCCACTGTCAAACTAGAAATCATCTATTACTGCAGGTAACATTTTTTTGAGCACAAGAGGAGATTTAGGTGAACTTCACAGAAGCAGGAAAACCTGTTGTCTCAATGTCAGTCTGAGAAACAAAAGGGTTTTGGTATCCCAGGTTTTTTTTATCCACATATGCTTCCAGGCTTCATTTGACTTTGCTATGCTGATTCTCTTTTTGACCTGGGATACTGATCACATACAGGAGAAGCTCATCCAGCAATGTTCCTACTGCAGGCTGACCAACACACCAAGAGAGCACCCACGTTTTTGCCTCTGTTCTCTGCCAGAAACAGCAGAGTGAAACCACCAGCAGTTCTACTGAGGTCAGCTCTGCTCTCTTCTTCGCTGTGCATGAGACACAATGAAGCATGAAACAGTTCCGAGTGACTGTCAGATCAACCAAATGTGGGGACAGTGCTTTCCCAGGGACAAAGCAGGCTCTGCTTCAGGCAGCCTACTTCAAAAGTATTTAAATGTACACCGATGGCTCTGTCAAGCAAGCGAGACACCAACTGGGTAACATGCCAGAGCTCTAATACAGGTTGGCAGAGAACTCTTGAATAATTATTTTTCTTGAACAATGAGATTAATTCCTCAATCCTCTAATCTGTGCTTGGCAGAAATTATACAGTTTGGAATCTTGAAGACTTACAAACACAGGAATAAATGCCTTCGTATCTCAGACAGAAATCCTATCGTTTGGATTCTTGTAAACTCACACACAGACAAAAAAAAAATACACATCATCTTATAACAGCTCTAATAAATATAAAGGTAAGCTATACTTACATATTTCCATTTTCCAAACATAAGACCTTCTGGTACTTCTAGAGGACAAGGCATAATTATAGTATCTCCATATATTGCATTTACTGTGTACAATCCCAGAGCTAGAGGAGAAACAGAAAGAGAAGAAACAATTTTAAGTGTCTTCCCGAATTCCCATATGCTTGCTAATGTTTGGTTCACACAAATTACACAAAGCAGCACCACCTTCTTTGCAAATGGTTTTTTTCCAGCATGTAGGATTTATCCTCAAACCTCTAACAAAACAGGATTCCTGTCACTAAATTTGTTAAGTAAACATTACAACCTTTCCAGACCCATGTTTCCTGCTGTAGTCAATGGAAACCAAGTGGATTTCCAAACAGGACTGCACCCACTCAACTAAATGAATAGATTCACTACAGTCGCTATCCACAGCTATTTTCTCAGACTTAAAAACTTGAAAAGAGAAGTCCCTAAACCTTTATTTTACTTCATCTGAAACACCAGACACATCTGCCTGGAAAAGTTACATTGCAATGCAATATTTTGAGAAGGCCAGCAGAGAAGTGATAATTCGACTGCTGCACTACATTAAAAACTTAGAATAAGGAAGAAAGAAAGGAGAATGATGATATTAAAATGTTGTGTTCCCTAAAACCTGGGAAAAAAGACCTCTAGTCTGCACAGTTAGATTTTGGAAAAATGAAGTGAAATGCTACCATGAATTATTTAAGAACAGCTTTTTTAGAAACCTCAGCACAATGTTATTGCTCTAACGCATATAAATTTACCAAATAAAACCGACCCACTTATTTTCATTGTCCAAAACATGTGAATTGAACAAAAACAACAGACCCTAAAGTGATGAAATGTTAAAAAGCAAGGAAGTTTAAAGGGGTAGATGTTACAACTTGGTGTGTTTGCTACAACGCAACTTTGCTTTGCTCCTGTTCTCCAGATTTGCCTTTTGCTCTCTGCTCCTTATACTGGAGAGAAGTTTTGCCTCTAAGTGCTTGCCCAGTATCACTGAGAGAGTGTGGTGGCTGCCTGCTCTCACCCATACATCTGCAACTTGTCAGGGTTTTCTGCCCAGTGACTTGGGATTTCTCCCTTTTCTCTCCCCTCATCTGCAACTGTAGATTTGAAATCAAGGCCTTGCTGCCAAAGAAACCTTGTTTACGAAAAAGCAGTAGGATGCTGGTGATGTAGCCAGGTGTGCCTGAGGTGAAACAGTCAGTCCTTCTAGAAAGATTAATTTTTCTGGAGATTAAAGGCTTCTTTCTACAGCCCTGTGCCCCCAAAGACCTGAGCCACAGATCCCTTTGCTTTCCCAAGTCCTGAGGCAGCTGCTGGGAAGACCCAACAATTCTATCAAGTGCATACAGGCACTCTATTGGGAAGTTTTCCAAAGAATGGTTTTTTGTTTTAAACAAACCCATGTCTTTTCAAGGAGCCAAACACTGAGTTCCTTGCCTGCAATTTAAACTAGAGAGACACCAGAGTATTTTTCTCGGGTGAGGACTTCAGAGCTTACTATTACCATCAGCTTGTATCACATTACTATCATTTGTATCACAGTGATGAATGAGGTTGTGGCTTGTGCTGTGTTGTACTGCACAAAGAAATAGTATTCCAAAATCCTTCCTTAGAGATGCTACAACCTGGATGGCATCACATGGTTAAGGCAGAAAAAAGTAGGCAAGCAGGCTGGAGCTCAATGAACTAAAGGAATATAGGATATAACAGGCACCACTACCTGCATTTATCTTAAAATTTCTTTCCTTCCCACTGCTCCTTTTCAACAAAAGAACTGTTAATCTTCTGATGCTGTTATATAACTAGTCACAAAAATGCTTTAGGTGCATTATTCACATTATAAGGACTGGATGCTCTAATTTGCTATATGGTTCACAGAGACCAGCTCTTTTCTAAATGACAATAACAGTCAGTCCACTAGATGGTGCTGAGTAAGAGCAGTCTGTAAAAATGAAACAAAAATTTTTAAAGAAATCAGATAACTTCAATTTCATGGAAATAGGACCAATGTTTTACAAAAATCGAACTATAAATGGACTTCAAAGCTGAAACAAAATTTTCCCTTGGCCTTTCCTTGCAATCATCCTCATTCTGACCACCAGGAGGGGAGCAACACAACTTCAGCTTTGCAAGTTGAATCCTCATTTTCACTTCAGCTAGAGCTAGAAAAAACTGTCCTTTTTTGGCTCCTCTCTCCCATGAGTGAAAAATTACAACAGACTTGCAAATATATATTCAGTTAGTAAGTTGGTTATACCTGTTCAAATTCCAATTGTGTCATTTGGTAATTTGAAATTCTGTAATGGTATTTTGCATCACATGGAAAACCAAAAACTGCTTCTTTTGCTGTGAAATACTCCCTTGTCTGGGGAAATACTCCCTGTCATTAGGGGAAAACAAAATAGTCCTCCAGGATCTGTAAAACTGTTCTCTCCTAGACACCCATTTACCCCCGGCAAAATTGCTTAGGTAGCAAGTATACACTACCAAAGACTCAAGAAACAGCCTCACTATGGTGAATGAAACTGTTTCTGGAAAGGATTTACATTTATAGCATTCAGAGCAGGTAACTGATGAACAGCCTGATAGAGGAAAAGACCGGCCTTTGATTTTAGAAGACCTCTTTCAACTGAAAGGCATTTCTTAAGATGACCAAACCACCACAAAATCATGACTTGCCATAAATTCCGCCTATACTAAAATCATACAGGTTTCTAAGAATTTGCTAACAGAGTACCAGAAAGACACAGGTTTTACTTTAAATGCAGAGAAACAATCCTTACAAGAATATAGGAGGTCCTGCTGCAAAATTTTCTCATCCCACTTTTGTGGCAACAAATCTAGGACATTCAAGGACTGCAAACTAATTGAGTAACTGCAAACTTTCCCTGCAGGAACTGCAGTAATTTCCACAAAACAACCCTACTAACCTATATATTTAAGAAATGAAAAAAAAAGCACCTCAACAGAATTGGGAATTTTTCTCTCTATTGCTACTGGACATAATTCGAAAAAAGGTGGGATGAAAAAGAAAATTATTGTTTATTGATATGACAGTGCTTACCATCAACCATCATATTCTGAGAGCTCTTGACATAATTTCCAGCTCTTTCTAACAAAAAGAAAATAAAAGCAGGATCTATAAATACATAACAAATTGCTCTGTGCCCTAACATGACACAGGGTCAATGTCAGGGCCATCTTTTCTCATAAACTGCAGGAGGGCACAAAGGCAACCGTAGGGAATAACGCTAGGAGATGTCACTGAACATCAGGCCCTGCCTTGCTCTATTTCTGATGCACCTTTCTCTAGCTAATAAGAGCTCAGCCAGCTTCCTTACACAATTTTCAGATGTTGCCATATAAAACTGAGTCAGTGCTGTTAATAACACCAGTAATTCAGAGGCAGGATCTTGTCCCACGTACAACAAGAGAAGCTGTACTTGCTAGGTCTAAATTACACCTATATATAAGGTTTATCCAACTCACTTTCCTTCCATTTCTTTACATACAGGTTAGAGCAGGCTGAGGTTTACCTCATTCCCCTCTCTTTGATCCAGTGCTAAAGAAACTCTGAGCCAGATTAAACCCTTCCACACAGGTTCAAACATGGGAAGAAAGCAGCAGCATGAGGTATGACAGCTCAGAGAAAGATCCCAGCAGGACACTGCTAAATTGAGATGACATTAGCTATTGATGCTCTTAATGAGAGTGTTTTCCATGTCCCCATGGCAGGGCTAACTGGCATCCTTCTTTATCCCCCTCTCTGCCTGTGTTTCACAAGGGAAGAACCAAACAGTACCCACACATCTGAGTGAGAGAACAAAAAATCTTGAACAGAAGCTTAAAGGCAGAGGATGTGCTGTTGTTAGTTTAGATCCTTACCAAGAGTACATGAGGCAGGTCATACTTCAGACTAATTATTATTTTTAAATCAGCATTATCATATATGAAGAATGGATAGACGGTGAGTATCTAAAAATCAGGAAGCTGATATTTCTCCAAGGAAATAACAAAAGCTGTAGAAAGTGTGAGGAAAGCAGCCATGTTTTCCACCTCTATCTTCCTTTTGCAATACTGAAACAACTTCTTGCCACAAACACATCTTTTAAGTGCTTAGGAGTCATATTTTTGTGACAAATGTAAAACAGAACAAGGGCTGTTCGAACACCCTTAAGATGCAAGAGGCTGTGAACCTGTATCTGAAAACTGTGACTAGCAGAGGTACTGCCCAAGACCGATCTTCACTGGCCTGCTCAGCTGCCGCACAGCACAGCTTAATTCCAGTTACTAAAGCACTGGAAATCTGGGGAGCTGGACCTCCCTCAGTATCTTGGAGTCCACTGATTTAAATGATATTTTATATCTACAAAATGTCCGGTATTTTCCTTTTGCACTGAATTTTTTACTGCTGATGCTTCTGCCCTGGCTGGTTCAGCAGTGATGTTTTTTATTACACTTTCTGGACCCAAGGAGCAAGGTCTCATTACTAGAGAACAGCAGGATATATTTGCTGCTATGGTTCTTCACAGCAATCAGCAGCATCGAGCAGGAGAGGTCAATTAGCAGCTTCTGGAATGGAAGTGTCCAAACTCAAGAGCTATTATGTCTATTTAGCACCTACTTCAGAAGCTGTAGTTAACTACTTCAGAAACTCTAAATTAGAACTAGCACTCCAAATCTTTACTTGAGGCATTAGCCCTCCCTTTTTCTCCAGGTAGCCCAGACTAGCCTGTATTAAATATAATCTGGGAGGTTAAAAAGCTCTGCCTCATGAAATAAATATTTTATTAAGTTGCTTGCTATCATCTCTGAAGTAGAAACAGGTGGATTTTTCTTTCTGACGTCCACTTCCTAGAGGCATTTCAACCATGTAGGCATACACATAGGTCCTATTGACATCCACTTAGGTACACCACTGGCTAATTTCAACTCAGTGTCTACCAACTCCCCGCGCCAAGGATCTTCTCCTCCAGAGCTTCCTTCCATGCTGCATGGAAGCCGGACTCCTCAGGTAGGACTCAGCATTAACTTCTCCTTCTCCCTCCCTTTTCCTTGCCTGGCAAAAAGTCACTTTTTCAATAAGTCCTTTAGTAGGCCTTCAA